CACCCGTACCTAGAGGTTTAAATAAAGATGAAACAGCAGTGTGAGTTTCTATCCACCCATATCTAGAGGTTTAAATAAAGATGAAACAGCAGTGTGAGTTTTTATCCATCCGTACCTAGAGGTTTAAATAAAGATGAAACAGCAGTGTGAGCTTTTATCCACCCGTACCTAGAGGTTTAAATAAAGACATAAGAAACAGCAGTGTGAGTTTTTATCCACCCGTACCTAGAGGTTTAAATAAAGATGAAACAGCAGTGTGAGTTTCTATCCACCCATATCTAGAGGTTTAAATAAAGATGAAACAGCAGTGTGGGTTGTTATCCATCCGTACCTAGAGGTTTAAATAAAGATGAAACAGCAGTGTGAGTTTCTATCCACCCGGTACTAGAGGTTTAAATAAAGACGAAACAGCAGTGTGAGCTTTTATCCACCCGTACCTAGAGGTTTAAATAAAGACATAAGAAACAGCAGTGTGAGTTTTTATCCATTCATCTTTATTTAAACCTCTAGGTACGGGCAGCAGTGTGATTTTTAACCACCCGTATCTAGAGGTTTAAATAAAGACATAAGAAACAGCAGTGTGAGGTGTGCTTGTAACAGTTTTAAATAATGTTTGTAATTAAACTTTTCCTGTCACAGTATAGGCAACCATTCTTCCTATACATATCTATAAATTCATATTTACATGTAAGAAATGCACATATTTAGTAATAGCTCCTAAACACTTCAATTTCATGCAAGTTATTTTATTTTTTTGTAAACGTTGTAGACTGCCAAAATTAAAAGATAAAATTATTTTTTCCCCTATTATATACCTTTCCTTTACTTCAATGTTTTACTTAATATGTATTGTCATTTTTCCTTAGAGAATAATCTAGTTTTATGTATTTCCTTGTGGTAGATTTGTATAATTTCATCCCACTAGTGCCAACAAGTCATGTATTTCAACCCTACTAGATAGAATTACAGAAAAAACTTTTCTTATACAAAACTTATTTACAACAGTGCTCTTTCAAGTTTGAAATTCAAGCCTTCTTTTTACACTTACTGGTCTCACATATTTATAAAACAGTCATACATTAAATCACTGAAAATATACTTCCAGTGATTGTTTGGACATTAAAAATTTACTTCTGAAGCATTGCCACGAAAGACCATTTCTTTGATCAACTATGCAATTGTTATTGGTATCTACAAAGAATGGTAAATAATGACTGCCACTATAAAATAATTGTAGTGCAAGATGCTGGTAATATATTGAAGAAAAACTCAAGTACAACAAAGATCTCTATGTCCTAACTGACTGATTCTTAGTGATAAGAAATCAATTATCTCATATTATACCATGTGAAATACATTACAAAACCTGTTACATGACAGTAAACAACCAGTTTGAAAACATAAAATCAAGAGTTTCATTGGCAATTAGAGAGATAGAAACTAGCCAATGAATAACTTAACGGCTATTTTCTAGAACACCTCAAGAATAAGACAGGAATATTTGTCAATCTTACCAAAGAAGATAGGAATATTTGTCAATCTTACCAAAGAAGACAGGAATATTTGTCAGTTTTACCAAAGAAAACAGGAATATTTGTCAATCTTACCATTAATGTTTTTAAATCAGTCCTTTCTTCTGGGATTTTCTTCAAGCTACAAAAAAAATAGAAAAATCTAATCAACCATGTGAGGTAGAAATTTAAATGTTGTTCTGCACTTTTTAATAGTTTTTAATTCTAAAAACCTATGACTAAAAGTAAAGTAGAATATGTTATAACATGTCAATCACAATAAATTTACTACATCAAGTGCCAATAAGGCTTTTCACCCAGTACCAGGACTCATCAGGCTGGATGGGATAAAACAGACATAGTAGTGGTCTAGGCAATATATATATATCATCAATTTTCATGAACAATAACTGTCAGTGTGTGAACCGGACTGATAAAATGAATTGTAACTATTAACTATTTTTACTTAAGTCATTTACAAGTCAGATTTAAGGTAAGAATTAATAACACAGCATTATTCATTTTATTATATATTTATTACTATTTTATTTGAATTAACTTAAGCTAGTTTTCTTTTTCCCGGAGTGGGTCATCAGACCACAGCGTCAACAAAAGAAAACTACATTAGTAATTTTGTGAACCCATAAGTGAAAGCAAAATATAATTTATTATAAGATGTCAATCATATTAAACCTGCTATATCTAGTACCAATGAGGCCTTTTTCCCAATACCAGGGCTCATCAGGCGAGATGGGATACAATAAACATAGTAGTGGTCTAGGCACTATATATATATATCATCAATTTTCATTAACAACAATTTTTTATGGTGTGAATCAGGTTAAAAAAGAATAGTAATTATTATAGCTTTTTATTTAAGTAATTGTTTAACTTTTAGATTCTTTAACCTAATAAAGTAATCATTTTATTGTGCTTTGAATTTTGCACAAAACTACACGAGGACTTTTTCTGCTATCTGTCCCTAATTTAGCAGTGATAAACTAGAGGGAAGGCAGCTAGTGAGTGCCACCTACTGCCAACATTAGGGCTATTATTCTGCCAATAAATAGTGGAATTGACCATTACTTTATAATGTCCCCAAAGCTGAAAGGGTGAGCATGTTCGGTGTGACAGGGATTCAAACCTGTGACCCCAAGATTGCAAGTCTGGCAACCTAACCACTAAGCCATGCCAGGCCCAAAATATTGTGTTTCTAAAATAAAAATACCTGTTTTTACATGTTAACCTATTGCATATATAAAACTGTTAACAGAAGCTTACTTTAGTAGCAGTCATGTTACAATGAATTCAAAGAAACATTCTTACCATCGGTCAACAAAATCCTTAAACTCTGCTGAAAATACTCCTGCAGGCACTGTTGGTGGAGGCTAGGAAATGGATAAAATTGATAGAAATGTATTCAGGAGAGACATTTTAGAAACCTTATAAAGTAACACATACCTATCCTCTATCACTAAATTTGTTCATTAACATACTATACTTAAAGTACTTTGCTATATTGAAGTAAACAATAAATCAAACGTTCTACTTATTATCTCTGTAACATATACATAATTTCTTAGCAACTGAAAAATGGCAAACAAAACAAAGTATAGAAAGTAAAAAATGAGATGATTCTTACTTATGATAAATATTCAAACACATTAAATTCTGTTTGTTTACTTTCGAACCGATGTTATTAAATGTTATTAATAATCATTCAAATGAAATCACAATCTTCAGACCAATGATATCCTTTAACTTTGTTTTGAAATTTTAAAAAATTTGTTGTAAGAAGTCACTATTTCGAAAAAACATCAAAAAATACTTCCTTTGATCTTAGAATTTCAATTTTATATTCATTAACATATTTCTTTTGATACTATATTTTTTCTAATTGTAGTATCCATAATTTCTGGTTATAAGCTTTCAAAATGGCATCAAGTCAGGTTAAAAAACAATATTCTTAGATACGTTTGTTCGTTTTTACTTTTGCACAAAGCTACATGAGGGCTATCTGAGCTAACCGTCCCTAATTCAGTAATGTAAGACTATAGGGAAGGCAGGTAATCATCACCACCCACCACCAACTCTTGGGCTACTCTTTTACCAACAAATAGTTGAATTGCCCATCACATCATAATGTCCTCACGGATGAAAGGGCAAGCATGTTTGGTGAGATGGAGAGTCGAACCCCAGACCCACAGATTGTAAGTCAAGTACCCTAACCACCTGGCCAAGCCAGGCCTTCTTGGTCAAGATTGTATTGAATAAATACAGTTCTTTTTTAGTAAATAACAAGTTCTTTTATTCAGATGCATCATTTAAGTATGATAAATTTAGCAATAATATTCAGTAAACAAGGACTCATTGGACTACTCTGCCACTGCTTACTGTTCATGCTAAATCTAACTAACCTTACTTGAGGTCTTTTCATAGAAGTAAGTTTCTGTAGATCCAAAGAAATACAATTAAACATAAAAATATTTTAAGGAACACATAATGAGGAAACTATATAGAAAAAATCCCAGATCTGTGTTTTGTTCCCAAGTCTTCTAAATTTCCCATTAATGTGTGCGTGTGTGCAAAAATCACCTTTTGTTTTATCGAATTTTATAGAATTTAAAAGACACTTGAACCTCTTCTAGTTTTAAGACACCTGAACCTCTTCCTAGTTTTAAAAGACATCTGACCTCTTCCTAGTTTTAAAAGACATCTGAACCTCTTCCTAGTTTTAAAAGACATCTGAACCTCTTCCTAGTTTTAAAAGACATCTGAACCTCTTCCTAGTTTTAAAAGACATCTGAACCTCTTCCTAGTTTTAAAAGACAACTAAATCTCTTCCTTGTTTTAAAAACCACCTGAACCTTTTCCTTGTTTTAAAAAATACCTGAACCTCTTCCTTGTTTTAAAAAACACCTGAACCTCTTCCTTGTTTTAAAAAACACCTGAACCTCTTCCTAGTTTTAAAAGACACCCGAACCTCTTCCTAGTTTTAAAAGACATCTGAACCTCTTCCTTGTTTTAAGAAACCTGAACCTCTTCATAGTTTTAAAAGACACGTCATCCTCTTTCTAGTTTTAAGACACCTGAACCTCTTTCTAGATTTAAGACACCTGAACATCTTCCTAGTTTTAAAAGACATTTGAACCTCTTCCTAGAAACATAAAATCTGCACATCGAACATGTAAGTCACAGCACTGTTCCCATTTATTTAATCTATGAACATGTGTGTATGTAGGTAGAAGATAGCAATCCCTATTATGGTTCAATTACAAAATAATTTCTCAAGAGTGATCTGATACTTCCAAATTATTAGAGAATAACCAAGTAGCAAATAAGTTAAATGCTACTTTAAGAGCAAGTCTATAAAAAATGTCACCATGAACTACAATCACAAGTATAAAGAACAGTGGTAAGAAAACCACCATGATGGATCAGAATCATGGAACAATGACACTGTTAAAGATAAAATAGAAACAATAATAAACATAAATGCAAACAGTTCAACTTTACTATAAATGACTAAAATCAGTAGGAGGTAGGTTCAGTCATTTCAGATACTATGGATATATACACAAGCTACTCATTACTTTAAAAAAATTTTCAAAAGAATGTAATAATCACAACCTGTGGAGAAAGGTGATTTAATCAGACGAATCAACATTCACGTTGGGAATAGTTGGTGAAGATACTCAACACCACTAGAAGATTTTGAACAGTTTCAATCTTTACTTTATCTAACAACATGAAAAGGTGTACACCACTACAAGGTTTTGAATAGTTTCAGCCTTTACTTTACGTAACAATAATAAAAGGTCTACACCACTACAAGTTTTTGAATAGTTTCAACCTTTACTTTGTGTAACAATATGAAAAAGTGTACACCACAACAAGCTTTTGAATAGTTTCAACCTTTACTTTATGTAACAACATGAAAATGTGTAAACCACTACAAGCTTTTGAATACTTTCAACCTTTACTTTATGTAACAATAATAAAAGGTCTACACCACTACAAGTTTTTGAATAGTTTCAACCTTTATGTAACAACATGAAAAGCTGTATACCACAAGGTTTTGAATAGTTTCAGCCTTTACTTTATGTAACAACATGAAAAGCTGTACACCACTACAAGGTTTTGAATAGTTACAACCTTTACTTTGTGTAACAATATGAAAAGGTGTACACCACAACAAGGATTTGAAAAGTTTCAGCCTTTATCTAACAACATGAAAAGGTGTACACCATTACAAGGTTTTGAATAGTTTCAGCCTTTACTTTATGTAACAACATGAAAAGCTGTACACCACTACAAGTTTTTGAATAGTTTCAACCTTTACTTTATGTAACAACATGAAAAGGTGTACACCACTACAAGGTTTTGAATAGTTTCGACATTTACTTTATGTAAAAACATGAAAAGGTGTACACCACTACAAGCTTTTAAATAGTTTCAACCTTTACTTTATGTAACAACATGAAAAGGTGTACACCACTACAAGCTTTTGAATAGTTTCAACCTTTACTTTATGTAACAATAATAAAAGGTCTGCACCAACACAAGGTTTTGAATAGCTTCAGCCTTTACTTTGTGTAACAATAATAAAAGGTCTACACCAACACAAGGTTTTGAATAGCTTCAGCCTTTACTTTATCTAACAACACGAAAAGATGTACACCACTTCAAGCTTTTGAATAGTTTCAACCTTTACTTTATGTAACAACATGAAAAGGTGTACACCACAACAAGCTTTTGAATAGTTTCAACCTTTACTTTGTGTAACAACATGAAAAGG